AGGCACATAGTTAAAAAAAAAGTAAACAATAAACATATTTGTATTCATATCCAAAATCAAATCACAAAACATAGAGAAGAGATAAAAGAATTTAAATATCAATTTGTAGTGGGAATGAGAGGTGGTGGGCGGCAGTGGTGGTGGTAGGAGACGGTGATGGTTGTGGTGGGTGACAATGACCGTGATGGTGGTGGCGGTGGCGGTGACGAAGTTGGTGGGGCCGGGGTCGGTGGCGGTGGCGGTAGGGGCGGGGGCAAGGGCGGCAGAGGTGGTGGCGGTGACAACAATGGTAGTGGTAGTGGAGGCGGTAGTGGTAGTAGTCGTTGTGGTGAGACAGTTTCAAACAATTTTTTTTTTAAGTATTTATGAGAATAATTTTTAGAAGTACCTTTAAAAAGTCACTCCAAACACACCCTTATAGACCTATTTTTCCTATTAAATTTATGGTGTTAATATTAGTTTTTAGATTAACTTTAAAGTAAAATTTAAAGCGATCTTAACCGCGAATAGCAAAAGTCATTTTGTTTATCTTTTGAGATTTAAATTGTAAACTACTTTATTATATAGATATTTATAATTATTTTAAATTCGAGTAAGACTCCTAGTATAGAAGTGGATCTCTCGCAAATATATAAGTGGACAATCTACCAAAGAGAGAAATTATCATACTTTTTCCTTCCAACAAAAATACGCTAGTTGTAAAAAAAAATTTATTGTATGTTTTTATTTGTTTTGCTATTTTTAGGATCAATAATTATAATTAAATCAAAGAAAGATCAATTACTACAAATTATTTTCTTGAAATGGAACAATTTTTTTATTACCCATAATTTTAGTTTTTTAATCTCAGACTAAAATCTCCTTTAATATACTTTTTCTTTAATTAAGTAGTCTAGTCTATGCATGTTGATTCTTGCCAAGGTTGGCTCAACCACTAAGCTACTAAGCTTGGACTTTAAGCCCCACCCAGATGAAAGGTGTCACGCCCCATTCCGGTCTCCCAAGGATGAGATGCAACTAGATTTTTAATACACCTATTTACAATTATTATAAGTTAGACTAATCAAATATGATATAATCCTACAGGTGTCACAATACTACTCATCACCTTAATTATTAAGCATGATGGTAAAATCTATCTTATAACCTGTACCATATATAAACACATGTACCAATCATTTGTTTTTCAGGTCATAGACATATACAAAATTCCACACCCACATAGCATACATCACAAAGTATGCTTGATGAGTCTATTTACAAATATATATTATTAACCTGTCATAATAATCTCTCACAAATATAATACACAACCCATAAATTAGTCATACTAACACTCAACCTGAGTGATATCATACTAACGTTGCACAAGACTCAATCAACTGGATAGTGGACCAATCTGTATCCTCCTTTATAGTACTTGAAAAGAAGAAGTTGTAGGAGTGTGAGCTAAACCACGCGCTCAATGAGTATACATGTTGTATATGAAATATAAATGATAGTAATACACTGAAGTAGGTAGATACTACGTAGATACACATATTAAACAACAACATCAATCTAATTCCAAAGAATTCACAAGCTACATCACATCCATACTACCCCTCATCAGATAATCGATCCCACATGAATCCGTGTCTCCTGAACCTCCCGGGAACATCACAGTGCTAGCACACCACTACATGTCCAGTGATCAAGTATCGACGCTCTTGTCTCAAACAGTGCGCCACATTCCACAATACACAATACACAGTACAAAACATCATCTAATCACATAAGCACGTAGCACATAATTTTGGAGAATTGCTATTAAATTCGATCATTTACTAGTATCTTATAGTAGTATTTCCAAAACATATAAAGATATACACTCATCTCAAATGTACAAATTTATGGCCATTTGGTCCCATTGGTTGATCCTTTCGGTGTCACCGTATTTATTCTAATACCGACAGTCTCACTCGTTCCACCTAACACATTTGTAATTACAATATCAATATGATTATTACATTTAATAGTTAATCATGCACTAATGTATGCAAATAATACACCTCAAAGTGCCCCAGTAACTGCACTATTTACTCACACATTAGAACTTTTATTCTAGGGATCAAATTCTCTTCCCAAATTCTCAAAATCACTCACATGAATTACAATTATGATTAATTAGGTCAAACACATTGACCGGAGGTCTATTTTCACACATTTCGACCTCGAATCCTAAAAACTACACTTCCGGTATTTCATACATTTCGCACTGGATATTGTACTCATTTATATTCGAAAGTCACATTATCACATCAAGCATCATTTAAAAATGCTATATGCAAAATTTCAGGTCATTTGAATTAAAATTCGCATATGTGATAATAACATTTAAAAATCAGAATTTCGGCGTTACCGGCACCCTTTCTCAACCTCTATCTCTCTTTTCTTTTAAAATTGTTACACTTAAATTTACGTACACTTTTAATCAATGCAAAACAGCCCCTAATTGAGCCTTTAAACCACCTATTTCATTCTCATAATTTTTGTTTTCAATTTAGCTCACTAAATGCTTCCTGATATTCATTTTTCACATTTTTTTTTCTTCTTTCTTATACTTGGATTGAACACCCCATTACAACCAATTTTAACAGTCCCTTTAATAGACTAAATACGCTTAATGAAACTCTATAAAAAAATCTGGTTTAATCTTACAATAAAACAGTCCATTAGTTGTACACAAGACAACTAATTGTGTAATACACTTAAAATTAACCCATTAAAATTAACTAAAACAGTCTATAAATTAAATTAAAATAGTCACTAATTTAAAACATGGTAAAACAGTCAACACATGTATAACGACATATATACTAAAATTAATCACAACTAATGTGTAAATTGATTCCCATATAACTTCCTTGCTCATGGTTCAGATAGATACACACGCGTATTTTTTCCTTGATGTCTCCTACTCTCTTTCTTTTTTTTTTTCTTTTTTTTTTCTCTCTTGCTCTCCTCGCTCTCGGCTTCAGTACTCCATCAGACACACACTTTGTTTCCTATGTTAAACACACACACCGGCCCTTTTTATATTTTATTTAACGCACACTTTACACCTTAAACACACACACACTTACACACGGCACACACTTATACACACACGGCACACCTTTATTTTATTTTATTTTCCATATGCCAACACCTGTAAAGGTAATGGGTTAATTACCGTTGCCTCCTACTAAGTTTTTAAATGATTTCGAAATCGACCCATTAATATTTTCACACAGAAAAATTTCTATAAGTGGGTCTCACTAATACATCTCTAATGGGGTCCACTTACCCAATGTATGCTCATTCACATCATGCCTATAAAAGATTTAATTTAATTAATTTTTTAATAATTTTACATAATTATAATTTAACCCACAAAATTATACTCATATGCATGCAATGCGTGATTGAGTCTCACAAAAGGTCCTAAATTTTGGGGTGTATTAATAACTAATGTCAAAGTTTTACATTCATAACATATGTAGGCCTAACAAAAAGTCATAGAAGAATATAACCTAATTAGATATTTTTTAGCCCAATAAATAAAACCCATAATTAAAAAAATTATAAATGACTTAGCTGTATTATTTATTAAGAATGATAAAAAAGAATATGCAAGAATACCGAGAAAACACACGAGAGGTTGAAAAAACAAATTTACGGAGTTGCACCAAATCACTCTGAAACGAGCAAAATACACAGAAGAATATGTGTTTAACGTGTCGTGTCACTTGAATTTAGTGGCGAAGCCGTGTTATGGCCCTCAACTTTTTGAAGTTATACATTATACTCGTAGAATTATATTTTTTTTATCACATTTTATATGCTACTTAAATTCTTAATATTATACTTTATACATTAAATTATAGTATTACCTTTTATTTTATTATCTAAAATATTGATTTGATCGTATTGAACCATTTAACTATTAAAATTGTGATATTTTTCATAAATCATTAAATTTTAATATTGTATAAATTTTAGATTATTCTAAATTATTAATAGTGCAATATAATCGAGTCAATAATATATTGGTAAAGTGAAATCAAATTATGGATGCTAGTACTAACTCGTTCCATCCCTATATGCCTATGTAAGAATTGCACATGGATTCGACGTGACAAATCTAATATTAGTAATAAATTGCAAAACATAAAAAGAATTTGAATTTAACATCGTTGTTTATTTCTTGAAGAAATGCTTTCAGACTTTGGTTGCCATTAGAGAGAGAGAAGAGAGGCACAATGAAACTGAGGCGACGAAAGCAGAAGGGTTAGGGTTTGGGTATTACTATTTATAGGGTGCCCAATAAATGTATCTTTTTGGTACTAATAAAACTCGAATCATTGACCTCATTAAAAGAAAACGCACGTTAAACGTTTTTTATTTTTTTGAAAATGCTTTTTTTTGGATTTTTGTAAATCGCCCCTTGTTTACAAAATGGTGGCAGAAAAAAAAAATGAATTTTTCTTTCTTATTTACTCTAAAAATCAAAATCAAAATAAAAAACGAAAAACAGAATCGTTACCAAACGGGACCCTAGAAACTCTAATATTTTATTGATATTAATGATTTTTTTTATATATGATGTATTAATGTTTATGATTTTTTTGTTGTGTTTTATTATAATTGTTTATATATTATCGAATTTAATATTTTTTTTAGTGTTATTAGTTTATTGTATTAATTAATTAGTACAAGTTAATAAATTAAATTATTAAAATAATCTAAAAATTAATAATTTAAAAATATTTATTTACTCAATTTTTTGCGCAATTTTCTATTCGGTTGTTTAAACGAAATTCAAGTAAATATTTAATCGGGCAACATAGAACAAAAAAAAATAATAACACAGGAAACATCATAATTCTTTAGGGTAAGCTGAAGACCTTTACTCCACGGTGCAAGGTCTACGTGCTTACTGCACAGTCAAACTAACCGGAAAAGAAAAAACAGTTAGATCCGAAATTCCGCACCGTTTTTACATCCTCTGACACAGCTGAAAACAAGGTGGTCCACTTGTCATTATTACCAACGTTATGTTGTCTCCAACGACATCGTTATCTTCTTGGGATATAATAAAAGCCAATCCATCCATAATCCGTTGGCGAGCTAATCATAAAACGGTGCATACAGAGTGTAGTGTTTAATCTGTGTTTTCATAGACTATCTTGTTTTGTTGTGTGTTGATTTTGATCAGATCGGAGAGAGAAAATGGGGAGGATGGATTATTTGGCGATGAAGACTGACCAAGACACCGCCGAATTGATCAATTCCGACATCAATGAGCTCAAGATCGCTGCTAAGAATCTCATTAACCATGCCGCCAAGCTCGGTGGATTAGGGTTTGGAACTTCATTCCTCAAATGGGTCGCCTCCTTCGCTGCTATGTGAGTTTTTTTAGCTCTGTATTTGATTCATGTTTCTGATTGAATTGCTGGGTTACTTTTATTTTGAAGTGTTTGGCATTTTGATAGTGGTATTGGGTTGTGATGGCAACCGAGAGTGAGGTCTGGATGGTTGATTATGGGTTATATAGATGTTTGGTGTTTATTGTATTTGCTGAAATATGATATGGCATGTCCTTTTTGGAAACTATAGGTTATTTATTTAATTTTCTAATTTTGACTTACGAGGCGAATTTTGTCAACAACTTCGATTTTAATATTGTCAAAAGTTAAAAGTGGAGAAAATCTTACTACCTTTTCTCATACATAACATTTTTAATTTCATTTGTTGTATGTTGCTAGATCATTTGTCAAATTCCCTTGGCCAAGACGTTGATGGGAAAAATTGTCGCTGATTGGTTTGTTCAGATGGCTTTTGATACAACAAAGACAAAGTAGTATGGAATTTGATCCTTATTGGAATTGGAAGCCAATATATCCAATTTATTGGTTGAGAATTCTGTTATGTCCCAGATAACGATGGGCCCTCATATTAGGCTTGCAGCCTTCCACTTGATATAAGTAGAATTGCAAGCTGGGTCAGTTGTGTGGTTCTTTGTCTAAAGTTTGTCCAATATTATATCAGTATGCTTAAAAGGATATCATACTGACGTGCGAATCAGAATTTCCTAGTACCATGTTACTGGATTATGGTGTTTATTTGTAGAGTCGTGACATTACAATAGGTTACCTTAGACCCAACTGGAAAGAGGAGGAGATCTTCTTTCTTTTTTTTTTTTTTTTTTTGCCTTTTTGATTGAATTTAGAGAGTCTTAGAGATCTAAAAGTTGGAGAGAGGGAGACACGGAAACAAGAGAGAGATACATGATAGAATAGAGTACTGTTGCCAAAGAGGGTTGGGATCCAAGGAGCCGTCTTATAAAGGTAAACTAATGACCAACCGAAAAGCGGAATTAATCAGGCCTTGCTTTCTTAGAATTTGAAAAAGGAAGACAGTAGTGGTAGTCATAAATTGCATATTGAGAGAAGTTGAACATTAGAATGATGATATAACATTTGTCAAAGAAATCACAGACTACTTTTCTGAATGCCTGTTCTGATCGTGGCATGTTAGATGACAAGTGAAAGAGACAAGATGAGAGATACTAACTGACAACCAAGGTGCTCAAGGTGGGGAGATTTACTAGGATTCAAGCTTTTTCTACACCATTTGAAGTTGCTCTGATATTTTATCAATGGCGAGAACAGATAGCTAATACCACCAACATAAATTGGCATGTCAGCCCAAGATAAATAGGCTATCATATTAAATACTTCAATTTGTAGTGCTCACCAGTTGTGGTGTTGAGCTATTTACTTGGGTCACCACCCTCAATGGCTGAAATACAATAAAATTTATTTATGCACCTCCATTTTCGCCGAAAATGTCCCATTTTGGAAAAAAGTGATACCAGCAATCTCTTGTACATCAGTGCAAATCAAGAAACCAAAGCACGTGTTGATTTTATTTTCTGACCGTCTAACTTAATGCCCTGATCAAAGATTAGACAGACACACTAAGGATGATAGCAGAAGAGATGGATTCTACAACTATTTGCAGTGCTATTTGGATTATTAAGTTCATTAAACAGTCTTAATCTCAGTTTTCAGAAACAATGTTTGGGTCTACCATCCATAGCCCTTGGTCATTCTCGCAGAAAGTTTGTATCATGGTTCTTACTATGTGCCTGCAATCATGGGACTGACAAATTCCATGAACTGAGATGACAAGACATGCTACCTTTGGCTTCTTATTACATAGATGAGTGCCTTTTGTACTGGTCTTATAGCTTCAATAAACATATGTGCTGACTGCCTATTTTTTGTCTGCAATTATTGATTCTGCTGTAGAAACTCTCTTCAACCTTTCCTGTTAATGAGATTTGATAATGAGATTTGATGTTACTGGTGCCCAATATGTTTTATCCAGAGTAGATTCTCATGTTTTGACATTATAATGCTGCTTTGTGTGTCATATTCACTCTCGCTGTAAATTTTGTTAAATAAAACATCTGCTGTATTCAAGTATTTAGTCAATAACAAGGACAAAGTATTGGTATTGATCTCTGATGCTTTCTACAATAAGGACATATGAGTGCAAACAGTGTTTCTTATACATAATTGGGAGTTTGGGACAGGTAGCTAAAACAACAGTAGCACGATTTATAAAAGTTGTTTTTGTAATTTCGGATGTGTCTTGAAACAGCCTACACATGTTAGCTTGCAAATATGTTGTGTATTGCACACCTGCTTTGGCACTTCGTTACAATTTTCTGAACTTTGAGCTTCATATGCTGGAATACTAGGTTATATTCCATTTGGGGTTACATAAATAAATTAACTACCATTTTACATTTGTACTGCAGTTATTTGCTGATACTGGATCGCACAAACTGGAGAACAAACATGCTGACTTCACTTTTAGTCCCTTATATTTTCTTTAGTCTTCCTTCACCACTGTTCAACTTTTTTAGGTGATGATCTCTGCTTTGATGCATAATCATTTTCTGCTGTCTTTTGTTTTTGATTCACCTTGATCTTCTTGATAAGTTTATCTCACTGTGGTTCAGTGGAGAGGTAGGGAAATGGATTGCTTTCATTGCAGTTGTTTTGAGGCTTTTCTTCCCACGACATTTCCCAGGTAACGATACAGTATTGTCAAGAAGGGTCTAGTGAACAAAACCTGAGCTATTTTATAATCGACTGCACCAATATGCTTGTGCTACCTGGAATACTGGACCTAGTTGGGTCTGTTAGTTTGGGTTATAACAAAGGAAAATGCTACATAACCCTAAGAAAACTTAAAAGTTAAAACCCAAATGCATATCATCCCTTGGGTGATCAGTGGGCCCCATTGAAAAAATTGATGACACCCACTCATCCAAGGGATGATATGCATTTTGGTTGCAACTTTTTGGGTTTTATTTGGGTTTTGTAATGTTGCCCTATAACAAATTAGGCATCTATATTTTAATACTCTTGATTTTGGCTTGCTTGTGAGACTGATTTCATATGCCACAAGTCTCACATCAAAATAAACAAATGGATTGCAATTAGAAAGGGTAGAAGTTTAGATGGGTTATCAGATGTCATCTTTTAGTTGTGATGCTGGGTGCAAAGAGCTGGAGCTCTTCATCACGAGCAGATTGTCTCCTCTCATAATCTTAGAGCTGCAGCTCCAAAAAGGTTTCAACTCCTCCTAGTGGAGATTTTTACTACTGTGTAAAGATTTGCATCGGCTTCCAGATCATTCATCTGGACCTATTCCTAGGGACTAACCAGTGGCTCCTACTACATGATTTTCATTTTGAGATCCAATTTTTTATTTCTTTTCAAATCATGGAATCCGCACTGTATCTATCTCTCTCTATGTGTGGTCAGCTGTTGTAACAGAATTTTTGTCGTCCTTAAATTACTCCTTTAGAGTCTGCTCTGATTGTTACATCTGTGTGTATCAGATATGGCAGATGATATAGGTGATGGTTGTCCCACTGACCGCAGCAGTTTAGGTAGTTTAGACAATTATTTATTGGAAGTCATATTGGCTTGTTGATACTGTGCTAACGTTGCCAATCCCTTATATAGCAGTATGGCCTATGATATTTGTTCAGTCAGATGACAATTAAGATTTCATTTTGCCTCAGTTCTACAACCGTGGAAAGTTGCTTGGTTGTGATAGAATTGCTGTTCATTTCATCATAATGCGTTATTCCTCACCTGTCATAGTTGTGATAGAATTGTTCCTCATCCATCATAATGCATTATTTGTCACCTCTCAAAGAGAATTGTCGTCTTCTCATCTAAGAAATCCTTCTTATCAATGCTATTGAGATGACAGACCTCATAATACTCATGCATTGACCATTTCGCACCAGAAGTTGATTCTGCTTTGTCACTATGTATGTGTTCACACCGATGAGTTTACATACATCCCTGGGGCTACTTGCTAAATGTAGGCATCTACTTACAGTGTGGTATCATTCAGGGCCTTTTCCTTTTTGTTATTGATCGCTCGTGATCATTGAATGCAGACTGGCTGGAGATGCCTGCATCCCTGATTCTTCTTCTGGTAGTTTCTCCCCGCTTCTTTTCACACACTCTGAGGGACAGCTGGGCTGGCATCGTCGTATGTCTTATCATTGGTTGTTACCTGCTGCAAGAACACATCCGGGCATCTGATGGATTCAGGAATTCCTTCACCAGACCCCATGGTATATCAAACACGGTTGGGATTATTCTTTTGTTGGTCTATCCAGTATGGGCATTGGTACTTTACTGGATTTAAGCAATTATGGAGCAAGGCCTGCACCTATCAACTGTCTTGCAGCTGCAATCTGAAAAGGCATTTCAATATTAAATCTTCTCTAGTTTTTTTTTTTTTGTTGTTGTAATGGAATTGCAATTTAATACTACTGTCTAGTTTTTGAAGTGAAGATGTTCATTGATGGCACAACTTTGTTTTACTGTGAATTGTTGTAAAACTCTGGTATCATCATTTGAATGCGAGTTCATTGTCTATGAGAATCGGTGCGAATTTGCCAGATGGTTTGGATTTGAAGATGTGGACCAACATCGCCTTTTCACTTCCTGACCAAGATTAGGAGCTTGAGGAGAAAAGAAAAAAAAAAAAAAAGAACGGGAAAAAAAGGGGAGTGGGGGTTGGTGGGAAGCCACACACACACATATATATATATGTCACTTTTTCACTTTGACGGTTAGTGTAGTCGGTATTTAATTATTTTATAATTTCACGTAATTATATTAACTAATTTAGTGACGATAATTCAACTATTTGAGATTGACTCAAATACAATTCGGTCAAATCGTGTGAAACTTTGAGTTTATATATATTATATAACGGTATCATTTCTAAAAATATTGAGTTGAATAAGAGTCAATGTTAGTATGGACCGACATCTTAAATGTTGAACCATGGGAGCAGTGGTCTACCGTAGTACTCAAATGGTATCTTATAATTGAGTTCCACTCCCAAGTCTATGATTATGTGGTACTACCCCGATACCTAGTGTTTGCATCTAATGATCATACAAATAAGACACCGAGTGATTATATCTAATCATCATACAAATATTTGAGTAATTTCTTACGCTCACGTGTTGAAAAAAAAAATTTTCACGCTTGGTGTAATATTAATATCACATTATTATTAACACGTAGTGTCATCGTTCAATAATAAATCAAATAAATTCTACTTGTTTATTAGGTACTCAGATCTAGTAACAATAATGATGTTATGCAGCTGTTAACTCGAATATTTTTCTGAGTTGGAGTTCACCAGCAAAAGTCCAAGTTTAAATACGGTGGTATAATAGTAATTTCATCCAACCCTAATGTACTCCAGATCAAGTTGACGCCTATAAGAGCAGACCGTTTGATATTCGGTCATAGCCTCCACAAGCTCCGAACAAACATTATAGCCTTATAAGGTTCTTTAAGGGTTTACTTTTCATTGATGTTTCAGGTACCTTTCCTCCTCTTCAATCATTTCTCGTGGTTCAGAGCCATAGTTTTCTCTCTGTATTTGATTGTTCTTTTCATGGAGTTTCGTTTTTTCGATTTCGTTTATTTTTCTTGTTTGTTTCTTTGCTGAAATATTTGAGGTAGGGTTGTGTTTCTCGGTGATGAACTATACGATGACGAGTCCGATTACATTCCATTCTTTTAAAATCCTGACGACAAATCGAGGCATTTGTCTGAGAGAAACACCCCTCTACCCCCTTTCATTCCGCCCTTCTTCATCTTCATCTTCGAATCAAAGTTCTGTTTTTCTGTGCTGTAATTATTTATTTATTTTTTAATTTGTTTGTTTTTTTAAGGTGTCTACTGAAATATGGGTTAGGATTTTGAGGTTGGGATAGGGTGGGTTGGGCATAATGATGATGACAACACTATTTTCTGATGAAAATGATTGATATATTGAACCTCCTACTCATTCTGAATGCCCTGTCCTGTTCTCTGTCCGCCCAAATGTAGATTAAAATTCGATTCAAAAGCAAACCTTTTTGTTTAGGACCATTTAGAATTTTAGATCCTCCATCAGAGTGTTTTTTTTTGAGGACGATGAGACTCAAATCCGTGATGATGTTTGGCCACCAAATCTCATCATCCAATCAGAATTGAGCCAGTCATTTCTCCTTGGTTTTCCATTATTTTTTATGGAGTTGGTGTTATTACAACAATAGCATCATGCCATTTTACTTACCAAAAAAAAAAAAAAAATAATGCAATTCCGAATAAGTTTGATTTCGAGGTTTGTTTGTTTATTTGTTTATGGTTTGATTTTAATTAATTCTTCTTGTAGTTGACTTTTAGGGAGAGAGAGGGGAGGGGGGTAATTTCATGATCATGGATTGGGACCATAGTCGCAAAAAATTCTTTGTTATTATTTAATTTGATGTATTGATTGCTTCAGATTTTTGTTATTTATTTAAGTTGCTTTTTTAGTCTTTCATTAGGTAGAGACCTAGCATTAGCAATTGTTAATTTGGTCTATGTATGTTTTCTTTATCTTTATGTTATGTGGCAATGATGAGAAAACAATCTCCATCTCTCTCTCTCTCTCTGATTTATGCATTGAGGGTTTACCCATGATTGTTTTTCAAGCACTTTTGAGCCACTCTCTCTCTCTCTCTCTCTCTCTCTCTCTCTCTCTCTCTCTCTCTCTCTCTCTCTCAGAGGAATGGGGATTTCTTGTGTATGAAGCCTCAATTTGCGGAAATACTTCCAATTAATCAAGGCCCTTGCGTATTGGATTCATGTTGCATATTTATCAGGCCAAGCACGCCTGTTTCTGCCTAAAAAGTGGAGTGGTATAGACAATGAGTAGTCGAAAGAAAGAAGACATTCCTTAAGTTTATACCTCTGGCTAGTTACGAGTGGTGGGTTTCTTGATAGGTTAAGAAGGGCTGATGGAAAATAATTAGGGAATAGCCTGATATTTTCGAATCAAAATAATCTTAAAAATATATATATTTTAAATTTTCTTTGATTGTATATTATTTATTTTAAATTCAAGGGAGACATGGTTATCAAAATCTTGATTGGGATCATTGGATCTTCCGGTCTTGTACAGGCAAATCGATTCAAGTCTTTGATAAAATTCCTAATCCATATGATCTTAACCTATAGGATTAAAATTCGACTT